CCTTCTTGGGCGAGGAATTGCATTTAGCAGAAATTCTACATAACACGCTTTACCAAACAAGAGAGATGCAAAACAGAAGCACGACTGGATTCGCTAGCCATGCAACTGGCGTATTACGTGCTGCGTGCTTTGCCTCAATTACAGCCAAATAAATATGGCATCCAGCTCCATTATCCTCAAGTCTAACTCGCAACTATGTTATAAAAAGGGCACATTTCCACAGCATCGGCTGCAGATCTGTTTACCTTGCAACAGCGGGACCGGGGTCCTCGTAGGTGAGTGCACAGCGTATCTCTAAAGACAAACTCTACATTCACTTCTGTGGTTCTTACTCCTTCACATTAGCGAGGTTAATGGGTCCATAGCTGCATTGCATGCCACTTCCTTCACTCAGGATTGCACAGAAACGCAGTTGAGGCTCAGTGATATAGAGAGCCGCCGCGACACGGTCACCCACACGCCCAACTATAGCCAAACGGGCTGCTTGTCTGCTCTCTCTCACTTCTGCTGTTCTCTTCCTTTGATTGCGCGTCGCCATAGGATTTTTGTATCGACACGTCGGAAAACAGTGTACAACTTGCTGAAGTCATGGGTGGTACGGCCCCATGCCTCGCCTAAAATTCATCGAACGGGAGAGGGGAGGGGAAAAGCCCCTCAACTACTAACCACTGAAGTAATTACATAGCACCTGAAATGAGTAAAATCATCGGAGAAATTGTTAGGACTGAAAATAACCTCTCACCCATGACCAAATACGACCTCCATGTTGTGGATTTGACAGCTATGAAGCACTCAATTCGCACAGCGTGACTATTAACCCTGCATCCCTGTGCAATCCAACTACACAGTAAAAAGTATATCCAAACTCTTGGTTCGTGTTACTTCAACGTCTGTTCAGAATGAAGAGAATTCCTCGAACCTCATCCACAACCACGTCCTCCAACGTATAATTAAGCAGCCAGCTGTCATCCACCATTGCTGGAAATTAAAATCACTTACTTAAGGGCGCTGTTTGGCGACGGGATGGGGGGGGGGGAGGCATTTTGCACTTTAACGACTTCCCATCGACGTGTCGACCCATCTAGACAGCCTCTTCTCGAGTTGACAGGTTTTACCATGATGGCTTGACGAGCTTGCTCCAGCTTCACAAGAGTTCACAGGTTTCACCAGAGTGAGACTTGTAAACCAGAACTAGTGAAGCAACGAAAGTGCAAAATGCCCCCCCCCCCCCAGTCGGCAAACTGCGCCTACTTAAGTATCCACTTGACGTTCGAATGTTGGAGAATAATGAGTGAAGAATGAAACTATAGCACTCACAATAAAAAGGTTAGGATATACTTCGTACCACTGCAAGCCCGCACTCACGAATACTGAATGCTTCATTTTCGAAATGGAATAAAACGATAATAGCACAGAAAAGATGTACATGAAAGAAGAACATAAGCCCAATCAATCCCCATTGTACAAGACTAGAAGAGATCAATACTTCCCTCCAAGTAAAAATGTCATGACTATGAAAACGCCTTGCATGCAACAGAGATGAGTCCAGAAAAAGTACAGTATTACTGGTTTAGAGATCATAAACAAGTTTCACAGTAATTTCAAGAATAAGTAATTGCTGAGGCAGTGAAGAAAAGTACACAACAAAAATTAAACAGTACACTCCCTAGAGACACTGCTTTGCTGCTTTCATGCGAAGTAGCCATTCTTGAGAGCACGATTTCGCGATTTCGCAGAAGCCATTGCCCGTCGATCTTCTTTCAAACCATTGTCCAAATAGCTTAAAAGGATATAAAAGAATAAATAGAAATACAAGATAGGAGCTAAAATGAGACGTCTAAGTCAGCTGCTCCAAACAAGGCGAATATGGCTTGCATATTTTATCATAAAAAAAGAATGAAAGAGAAAGAGTTCCACAGCTGCAGCTCGCAGCGAGGCGTCTCTGTGAGTGGTCGTATAAATAATTAGAACCAAACCCCGCGATTAAGTATTGTGGATAGTGGAGTTCGGCTACAAACCTATAGCCTCGGTGACTTTCCAGGAAAGAAAAAACGAGAAAATCATGGATAATACTTTAAGTACTCCATCTCCGGGTCTGCTCGTTTTCTGCCTGGAAGGCGAATTCCTGCCGCATCTGGCTCACTAACTGTTTCTTGGCGTCCTCCAATGCTATTACCTTCCCACAGTGAAAAAAACGAGTGCGAGTACAGCACCCTTAGCAGAAAACAGCCTTTATGATTCGGTAGGGGTCAACTAGCGCTGCGGCTCTCGTAAGTGGCAGTTCTGACGTAGGGAAACCACGTCAGAACTGCCACTTACGAGAGCCGCAGCGCCTTCCTTATCTAGGGCAAGGGAGTAACGATCTTTGCGACTGCGGATCCGATTTTTTGAACAAGGAAGCCTACGAAATATTTGAGCGCGATGACTGTCTTTCAGCGTTCGGACCAAGTTCTGTGTCCCCTGGGCGATCAGCGTGAACGCCAGTCGTACTGGATTGTCAAGTGTATTGAGTGCATAGAAAAACAAAAATGCATGGAAAAACAGCAGACATACCTTTCGCCTGAAATTTCTCGATATTTCCGAGCGCAGCTAACGAAACTGGATAGCGTCGTTTGGGAAGAGTCACCACAATGCTTTCTGCAATGGACAAAAGTCCGCTCAGGAGAATAACACAGCAGCACTGAAAAAAGCTAGGCTGTACATAAGCTCATTCCAACCTGAACTCCTGGGCATCAAATCCAAGTATCGTCATTTTCTTGCTGCTCACAGGAAAACTTTCTTCATATGAGTCGAAAACCGTCTGGACACTCTGAATAGAATTGTGTTGAATTTGGAGGAGAAATGTTAGGCGCATGTCCTGGGAAAAGAAAATTCACCTCATCCCACAGACCGCTTGGTGCCTCGGCAGAGAACGATTTTTCGTCAGAGATATCGCTTTCATTCGACCTAAGAAAAAAACGTTCGAAAGAACACGACTGCCATTAGTACTCGGCTGGTTTATAATTGTTGCGGTCCTTTCCGACTTTTCTCCTCATTCAAAAGCAAAGAGATTATAACAATTAGCTACAATGTGTAAAGAAATCCGATCCATATTTGCAATATTATGCGTCATCGCCTAGAAGCGTCAAGCCTACTTGATTCTTCATGAGCACTACTTCGGAGTCCGTCTTCCAGAAACATGTTAAACAGCGAAAGGATATGGTGATTAGGCTCAGGAATAATAACCTCATTCCCTGGGATACAAGGCGCATTTATTTCAGCAAGGTCACACATTCACACGAGAAGTGTCCAAGCACAGCAGTAGCTTCGCCTTTTTAGCGCTATACCCTTCTGATTGGTTTTCAAACACTTTGTATTCGGTATTATTAAATGCTACTTCATCACAATCAATTGACGACTTGGAATGAAACTCTAGTTCGCTGCGGACGAAGGGGCGTGTCAGGCAGTATGAGTGTGCCACGGTGAAAAACCCGTTCTCTGCCAGTTGTTGAAGCAGGTACGCGACAACAGTTGTTGGGAAACGAGTGATACGAACGACATGATACAGTCTTGTCACTTGCTCGCTTCAACAACTGGTGGAGAACAGGTTTGGCACCGCGCCAATCTCATCCGGCCTGACCGTCCATTCGTCCGCAGCGAGCTAGACAATATATTGCTAAAGGTGGAGTACTATGTGTATTGGTAAAGCTGCTGAAAACATAAGATGAAATTATGCTTGAACTAGTAAACATGACAGTAGAAATGAATAATCAGTGAAAACAGCCATAATCCGCAATCGAAAAACGGAGATTTTTCGCGGGAACTATTCGCGCCGTTCGAGACCAAAAGCGCTTAGTATCCCAGAAAACAGAACAATTAGAGAGTTTTTATCAGACGTCACTTTCTTACTTGTGGAATGAAAATTGTAAAAAGAAGCCGCAACGATTACATACCAGCCTAACATATTCAGTTTTCAAACCGGAAAGGCTCACCTTGCTCTTCTTGTCGTCGACGATGCGGTTGCCATTGTACTTAGATAGCTTCTGTCTTGGATCCCAGTCGATGTCGTCGGTGAAGGAGATGAACCGTCTTTGCGAGCGAGCACGACCAGCTGTGTCGATATTTTTGACGGGGCATTCTTCGAAGATTTAGTTCTTGGACGACGACTGCCCTTGGAAGATCCAGCAACAGCACGAGCCACAGGAGTAGGCGCTGACCTTGATGACATCTTCCTCTCGATGCCCTTCACAGACCGAGTCGTTTTCGTTCTGTCTGCCTCACATGTACTAGCAACCCGACTGGATTTCGCACTTGACGCCTTGGCTGACGATAGTGGAGCTTTCGAAACAGCTCGAATTCGGGATCGAAGAGAACTTCTCCCAATTGTGATCTCAGGCGAAACCGAGGTAGGGCGATGGTTGACAACCGGCGTCACCATTTGTGGTGATAATGAATTATTCAATGATGGAGAGGCAAGGTGACTTCTACTTGACTTCTTTCTTGATCCTTCTGGTCGCTGAGCTTTCTTTCCAGTCTTCTGAGCGGGCGCCTCACAAGTTGCATGTGTAACTCCAGTATTACTTGTTTTTGGAGATGAAGACTTTTTTCCAACAACATCCGTCTCAGATCGCCGAACTCTTTCTCCATCAGTTCTAGGTGTGCTACACGCTAGATTTTCAGGAGCGGCCGGCGTTGACGCTGCCCTTTTGCCGGTTTCCAGTACCGCTTTTGCTTCTGAGATGCACCACTACGAGGCGTTCTCGATGAGGTAGGAGTAAATTTATGTGAAGTAGTTGGTTTTGCCATCATAAGATTCTGTACAGTCTTTTGAGCTGGCGCCTCGCGGGTGACTCCAGCATTACTTGTTTTCTGTGATGAAAACTTCTTTCCAGCATTTTCCGTTTCAGATCGACGAGCTCTTTTTCCATCAGTGCTAGGTGTGCTAGAGGCTAAATTTTCAGGAGTGACCGGCGTTGACGCTGCCCTTTTGCGCTTTCCAGTGGTGCTCTCCTTGTGAGATGTTCTGCGAGATGTTTTCGATGAGGGAGGAGTAACATTATGCAAAGTACTTGGTTTTGCCATCATCGCCTTCTTCACACTCTTCTGAGCGGACGCCTCACGGGTTGCATGAGTGACTGCAACCCTACTTGTTTTCAAAGATGGCGACACTTGTTTGGCTGGATTCGTTTCAGATCGAGCAACTTTTCCTCCATCAGTGCTATACACTAGATTCGTAGGAGTCCGCGGCGTTGACGCTGTCTTTTTCCGCTTTCCAGTACTGCTTTTCTTTTGGGTTGCAACCCTTCGTGGTGTCTTCGATGAAGTAGGGGTAACTTCATGTAACGCACTTGGTTTTGCCGCTATACAATTGTTACTTTGGGCGGCATACTTCTGTTGACGAAAACTGCCTTCCTTAGTACCAGATGTAGCAGGAGTTTGATGATCAACTGCACCTTTTGTATTACTGGCCTGCCGAACAGCACTCCTTGTAATACGATGAGGAGCAGCAGCTTGACTTGAGCTATCGAACTGGATTGGTGCTGGTGGCACTGAAGTGGCTTTTGAAGAATCAGTAGAAGCTAACGAAGAACCCTCGTCGGCCATCTGAAGTGTTGTGCCAGAAGTCGAGTCGGGGCCGACTTTAGGTTTTGAGGTATCCTTCTGGACAATTTTATTGTTCACATCCACACAATAGCGTATGTCTGTATCTCGACCACGATCGTCACTGCAAGATGGAACATTTTCAGGACTCGCTTCGACGGTGCCTTTGCGGTAGCACTCGGGAGAGCACTCTCTCGACCTCGAGCAGTCCCTATCTGTTATCGCAAATTTCGCCAGGGTACAAGCTTCCTTAGCAGTCGTAACAGTCCGTACTGGCGAACACTCCCTTGATCTTGAACAGTCCTTATCGGATACCATGAGCTTCGGTAAGTCATGAGCTCCTGCAACTGGCAGATTATGATGCACTGGTGAACACTCTCGCGATTTTGAACAGTCTCCAACCACCATTGGAAGAGATACAGCACCTGAAATGTTCAGTTACTTACTTCAGAATACCCACTCACCAGGACAGAAATGATCACCTTGCTGGTCGAATACATGAAGAGGGAACCCTTTGATTTTCATGATATAATAGAGATAATCCAGGGGTTCTTCAAAGACCAACTCCTAGAAGGGAAAGCAGTAAATCCAACAACTTCCAAACAATTAGCAAAACTACTACTGGCAAACCTTTACC